AATTGTCATTAGTTGACAAATAGCATCAACTAGAGTATTACAGAAAGAAGAACCTTGATCAGATAATAACTCTTGAGAACATCCATAACGAGTAATAATTTCATTATAAATAAACTTGGCAATAGTAGTAGCTTTCATATCAGGTATAGCTTTAGCTTCAGACCATTTTGTTAAATATTCAGTAGCTACTACAATATATCGATTTCCATTAGAGATGATTTTTAAAGGTCTGACAATATTAATTCCTACTTGGTGAAATGGTGCTAATACTGGTAGAGGATATAAAAGTTGATTTTGTTTTGTTTCTCCTTGCCATTGACAAGTATCACAAGTTTGAATATAGCTTGTAATACTTTTATATATTTTAGGCTAATAGTATTTGTTTTTAGTATGATTATAAGTTCTATCAATGCCAAAGTGTCCAGCAAGAAGATCAGAATATAATCCATGTAAAACAGTAAGCAGTTCAGATTCCTGAACTACATATAGTAATTTTTGTAAAGATCCTTTTGGTTTCTTGTATAGTTGGTTGTTTTCAACAATATAATGTGTTGCTTGTTTTTTAAATTGTTGTTGTTCTTTTAAAGTCAAATTTGGGAGTAATTCCGAAGTTGTTAGATATTTTACAAAGTTAAAATAGAGAGTAGATTCCATTTTGGTTAGAGTGTTTGATGTTTTTTCTAGGGTGGCTTTCTAGGAAGATGTAAAAGTGTATCTACATTTGAGTGAACTCATTCCTTGCGATGTATAACTGTGTAAGGATAGTCGGCTATCCGTTGTATCTAACAAGTAACTCTTTTGGCTAATTTAGCAACCAACGAAGTGCTGAATGATCAGTAATTAGATCAAAAGGTTTTATATAAATATAAGATAAAAAATATTCCATTCCCCAAACTGCAGCAAGATATTCAATTTCAGTTGGAGAATAATTTTTTTTTTTGAATTTAAGCAATCCTGCTTCTATTTATTTTATGAACTTACTATACGATTATTACATAAATAACCACCGACATAGTGTAATGCTTTATCCTAATAGAAACTCACCAAGCATACTAAGTACTGCCCAATGCGACCTGCTAAAACAACTATTAGTCTCACAAAAGGATTCAAAACTCGCTTCAGATTTCGTATTGACAAAAGATACCCCCCTCGATCATTTAACCGGATGTTGTATACCGCATCAGGATCTCTTTTTTCCCTTCTAATTCTTCTTTCTTCTCAAGAGGCACGAGACAAAAGAGATAAATTTTTAAACAAACAGTAATGAAAACGACCAGAAAAAAAGAAAAAACAAAAAAGAAAAAACATAAAAAGAAATCCAAAACCCTGAAGACACTATTATAGCCCGTGCGTGGCTAGTAAAAATTATATAACAAATGCAACATTTGTATATCTCTACTGTAAAGCTATGCTTTAATGTTAAAACTACTTTTTGATCTTCTCACCAACTCTGGATAGCTTCGCTGCCTGTCCTAATTTGTATCTCGAGCCAGGTGCTGCCGTCGTCTAAGAACCTGTATCTCAAACCACCTGCTGCTATAATTAGAGTTCCCAGGCTAAGTCCTATAAAAAAGCGCCATATTTGTTCATAAACAAACATGTGGTTGCATTCCGCTAGTCCGTCCGAATTTGAGAAGTAAACAATGCCGATCTTTTGAAGGAGGTAAGCCAAATCTCCACTTTTTGTTGAAATTTTTGGAAGATTAACAAAAGGATGAGAGTAAAAAAGTACCACTTGACCAAGTAATAGAAGTGCGGCTTGAAGAAAGTAACAGAATATTTGTTGTTCTCCAGTGTCTTTAAAGAAGTATGACTTAAGAGCTTCATCGACGAAGAAAGAGGAGTGTCTAAAGAGTCCTCTTCTTCACCAAGATTTTTTATACAAGGGCACCTCCTGCTAGTTATTTTGTATAATAACGCTCTTGGCTTGCATGCTAAATGTCACCTATAGAGGAGTCCTGCAGCACCGTTAATCTCTAAACAAACCACTACATTAGGCCACGACTTTCCAACAAAATTTGTGTTTTTCTTCCATAAAAATTTTGGGCCGAGTGATCGTCGGAAAGAGTTGAAATTGATAAACAAGTTGGAGAATAATTAATTTCAGAGATCTACTAGCATATGCTATTACATATTCATTATTGTCATCATCCTTTTGATCAAGAATAGCACCCAAGCCTTGGTACAAAGCATCAGTAAAAAGTATAAATAGTTTTTCAAAATCAGGATATTGTAAAATAGGAGCAGTTGTTAATTTTTCCTTCAAGATATCTATGGCTTGTTGACAGGTTTCATTCCAAATAAAAAGAATATTTTTTTTTAACAATGTGTTTAAAGGGTGAACGATTTGTGAAAAATTAAAAATAAACCTTCAATAATAAGAAGCTAAACCAATAAACCCTCGAAGTTCAGTAAGATTACTAGATACAGGATAATTTTGAACCTTATCAATTTTAGAAGGATCAGAAGCAATACCATTTTCACTAATAATATGTTCAAGAAAAGCTAACTGTTGTTTTCCAAAACAATATTTATCTTTTCCTAATTTTAACCCAGCATTTTGTAGTTATTTAAAAACTTCCTTTAAATGTTCCAAATGTTCTTGAATAAATAGTAATATCATCAAGATATACTAAAATAAATTTATTTTTAAAATCAGGTTATCCATTACTTGTTAAAAAGTAGTAGGTGTATTAGTTAAGCCAAAAGGCATAACATTAAATTCAAACAGCCTATATTTAGGGGATGTCTAAAGCGGAGTAGATTCTTATGTATATATTTTATCAAATTAACTTTAGAATTATAGTTATCTTGAATTATAGTCAGAGCAGGCTTTAGATAGTTATATATAAGCAAAATTGCCTTCTCGACATTTTTACTTAGCTTACCCAAAGTAGGTTTAGACTGCTATTTTTTGTATTTTCAAGTTTTTCGCTTTTTTTTTCTTGGTTTGCTTCGTAGATGACCATCAAAATTCTATAATTTGATTGGTCGTGTATCATGTAATTCTGCTCCACTTTAGACGACCCCTATATTTAGTAATAAAAGCAGTTTTTTCATGGTCCTCTGGCTTCATTTTCACTTGCCAATATCCACTAGCCAAGTCAA